CTAGAACAGTGTTTCCCAAACTTCCAGCTTTTTCCCTGTTGTAATTATCAAAACTTCCAGTACTCCTCGTTAAAAAAAAGTTCTTTTAGCATCAATATAATAAATAAATGTAATAATAATAACATTAACGAAAGCATCAGTGGGATGGATGAATTTGTTTATGTTGAGATGATGCCAAATGATTATAATCAGGTTCCCTATTCGTTAATTTTAATCGAAGATGCGGCTCCACATCCAAAATCCTGTTTCTTTTTTTCGACTCAATATCGACTAATGCTGAAAACGCAACTTCACATAGATATGATGTTGGAAATGGCAAAACATGTTTTAACACTTTTTCTGTTAAATTCGGATATAGTTGTTGCATTTGCAGCCAAAAAGATGCTAAAGAACACTCTTTATGTTTATTTTTCAAAAATCCGTCTGCATATAACTCCAAGAGCTGTTCTTGTTCCACATTAGATAAATTATCTGGCATGGCAGATGAATCAATATTAAACGGATGTCTTATCCATTCGAGGTTTGTCGTTAAATTCGGAAAATAATTTTTCAGGCCCTCTTGTAATCCGTCCAAATGCTCTGTTAAACATTTCAGAACATCCGTATCAATTTTATCAGATGATTTTATTACAAACTCATGAAGAGAGGGAAACGAATCTAGCTCTCCATTATTAACTCTAGTTTTCCATAACTTTAATTTTTCAATTATAGCGTTTCCTTTGTTCTGGACATGAAACAATGAAATATCTTTACCTTGTAATGATAAATTGAGTCCATTTAAAATAGAGAATATATCTGCTAAGTATGCCAATTTGGATAGCCACGTTGAGTTATTGAAAAAGAAAAACTTGAAGTTCTTGTCTTAGCTCAAATAATCGACTTAAAATTTTTCCCCGAGATAGCCAACGTACATCAGTATGAAAAAGCAGTTGGGTATGGCTGCTTCCCATTTCTTTACACATTTGTGCAAAAAGTCTTGCGTTTAAAGGTCGACCTTTAATATAATTAACGATTTTCACGCTTTCGTCAAGAACTTTTTGCAGATTAGCAGGTATGTTATGTGTTGCCAAAGCCTCCCTGTGAATGCAACAATGTGTGGACTTGACATTTGGTGCAACCTTCTGAATTTTTGCAATGAGTCCTTTATTAATGCCGACCATACTTTTTGCACCATCTGTACTTATTCCAACACATTTAGTCCAACTAATTTTGTTATCTTGCATAAATTNTTCACAGGAATTAGTATCTCTTTTAGGTGTTGGACACTGCAGATAATAATCAAGTTCAACCCCAATAGGTCTTTTTTCAATGAATACAACTTTATTTATATCAGATTTGTCAGTACATTAGCAACCTCATTATAACAATTTTGGTCTAGTTTTCTTCTCTTCACTTGTAATTCATCATCACATTCATTACTAGCAGAACTTTTATTTAGCATTTCGATTATTAATTACAGTATCCTCTTTTTAATGCAAAAAGCCGTTTTAAAAAATCACTATCAGTTTTTGAGAAATAAATTTTTGAAATGATCGAATTTTTTCGAATTTTGTAATTTTCGCCAATTAAGTTTTAAAAATTCGGATAAAATCGAGTTCTTGGAATATGTGTATGAAAATTTCCCAAAGTGTTAGTAAAACTGTCCTCTTTCCAATAAACCAACACATTTTGAAAAATAACTTTTAGTTTTTGAGAAAACAATATTTGAAGTTTTGAGAAAATTTTCGATGTTATAATTTTCATCGATAACTTTCAAAATTCTCCATACTCTACACTAGTGTTTCCCAAACTTTCAGCATATATGTACCCCTGTTGTAATTATCAAAACTTCCAGTACCGCTCGTTAAAAAAAAAAGTTCTTTTAGCATCAACCAAAAAAGAAATATTATATTAGTTCTTTTTAATGCAAAAACAAAATAATAAAATAAAATGGATAATAATAAAGTATAATAAATAAATGTAATAATAATAACATTAACCAAAGCATCAGTGGGATGGATGAATTTGTTTATGTTGAGATGATGCCAAATGATTATAATCAGGTTCCCTATTCGTTAATTTTAATCGAAGATGTGGCTCCACATCCAAAATCCTGTTTCTTTTTTTCGACTTAATATCGAGTAATGGTGAAAACGCAACTTCACATAGATATGATGTCGGAAATGGCAAAACATGTTTTAACACTTTTTCTGTTAAATTCGGATATAGTTGTTGCATTTGCAGCCAAAAAGATGCTAAAGAACACTCTTTATGTTTATTTTTCAAAAATCCGTCTGCAGATAACTCCAAGAGCTGTTCTTGTTCCACATTAGATAAATTATCTGGCATGGCAGATGAATCAATATTAAACGGATGTCTTATCCATTCGAGGTTTGTCGTTAAATCCGGAAAATAATTTTTCAGGTTCTCTTGTAATCCGTCCAAATGCTCTGTTAAACATTTCAGAACATCCGTATCAATTTTATCAGATGATTTTATTACAAACTCATGAAGAGAGGGAAACGAGTCTAGCTCTCCATTATTAACTCTAGTTTTCCATAACTTTAATTTTTCAATTGTAGCGTTTACTTTGTC